GGTGGGGTGGGGTGGGAGGGGGGAAGCCTGACTTGATGTATAAATCTTCTACAGCCTGTCTTTAACTAGGTGCTGTTTTTTCTTTTTAATTTGCTAATTGTATGTGCAAATCTACACTTTAATGTATGTTTGTGCACAGATTCTTCTGATGGGATCTACTGTTCCACTCTGCTCAGCACAGTGGGAACGGATGTTTAATACCTCCCGTATCCCAGGAGAGGAATCAGGTAAGCAGGGCCAGTCAGGGAGAATAAACATCTTAATGGAATTGAGTTTTTGGGGTATTTTCTGCTAAAATCCTATGTTTCCAGGAATGTGTCTGGTCTGAGTGGAGACTTCTGTTGTGCTTTCTAAAAAAGCTTAAGCTATATCCAGATTTCTTTGACTTGCTTATGTGCTGAAGAGCCTCTTAGAGCTGAGTTCACGCGTTTATCCAGCACTACATCATTGTGGCAGCACCGGAATGAAATGCAGCATTTGGCAGAGTTATCCTGACAGTCACTAGGAATTTGGAATGCAAGGGGTCATTGGTTACTCAGCTCTGTTGGGAATGTATGTATGGGCTGTCACATGGGGAAGTGATGCTGGCTAGTGGGTCAGCAGCTGCCTGTTTCGGGTAAGGATTTTACTTTCAGTTCTGCTGCTGGGCCTTTGGTAGATTATTCAGGAATTATTTCCCAGCTAAGCCTCAGCTCCCTTTATCTGCAGAATGGAGAAAAACAGATCCCTGATGGGCTTCGTCCTTGATCATGAACTAGTAGCTTAATTAGGCTAGCAGGTTGTAAAGTCTCTGTTAGAAAAATGTAGTGTATAAGCTATTGTTGTTTGGTATACTTCAAGTACTGAAAGTGTTACCCTTGCCCCTTCCCTGTCCTCATTAAAATAAAAGGTGTGAAGTGTTTGCATTTAGATGTGGATTTGATGTTCTTTTAGGCTGAAATGAGTTTTGCACAGAAGCATAGAAGTGGCCCATTCTAACTCTAACACTTGATTTTAAAAAGTCAAGATTAAAGGTTTTTAAAAACATATAACCATATGTTAATGGTTCTCCTCAGTTTCTCCTGCTTAAAGTCTTTCAAATTAAAGCCCAGTCAGCATCATAAAATTACCTTGTTTTCCTCCTAAGCGTTTCATGTTTCCTATTCTACTTCTTCAGTTTTTCATTGTTTCTGTTTCTTTAAAGCAAAAACAACTTCTGTCACTCTGTATGAGGATAAGTGAGTCATAAAGATGCTTTTCCCTGATTCTCATGAGTAGAATCTGGGAAAATCCTGAGCCCCTGATTTAAATTATATTGTAAATATTATGTATGATACAGTTCCTAAAGGAAAAGCATATTAAAAAAAAAAATTCTGTGACATGTCTTCATGTTAATTGGTGGTAAAATCTTAATGGACACTGTACCCTGTCACTTAAGCAGTTGTTTAATCTTCTTTTCACCAAACACTCTGTGGATTGAACCACTTCTTGGAAGCAGGGAAGAGCCTTTATGTCTTTCCATTCCATTTTTTAATAGGAAACCCATGCAGCGTGGTACAGGCATCTTCAGATGTACATAAAGGAATTCAGTCTCGTTTTCATCAGTGACTTTTCCTGGCTGCTGCAGAAGCCTTAATCTGTGCTTTGATACGGTGCTGTCGTGACTCAGTTCAGGCTTATCCACGTTAAACCTTAACGACAGAAAAACGTACGGCCGAGGTTTCTGCTTCGCTGCCTTCCATAGCACTGCACCTTTTGGCCATGGATGTGAGGTTTCACTCTGCATCCGACGGGGTAACTCTGAACAAAGGCTTATGGTACCAAATCTGGGCTCTTTAAGACCCCTTACAGATTATATTCTGAGTTGTCTAGCTCTTGAATGTCGATGATTCAAAAGTACCCTTGCTCAGACTTACCTAGAGTGTAATTGTGCTGACTGCTTGACCAGACTGCACGACCAGTGCTCACTTTTCAGACTGAGAAATACAGATTTAGTTGCTTAATATTGGCCAGCAGCAGGGCAACTGGTGGTGCTATATACACAAAATATTATCAAATCTGGGTATTTGTTTCATGCAGGAATTTTTGTGCTGGAACAACATGGGGAAGCAGTTTATTCCACGCTGTTTATTACTTTGCTAAAATAAATCAGCTGTGGCTATAGCGGTAGTGCACGCGGCCGGCATTAGATGGTTCTTAGTGCATTAGTGTTTTGAGACTTCAGCTTTGTTTTCACATCAGTGATTGCCATTGCAGATACTCTCCAGCATGTGAAAGACAGCAAACACATCGTTGTGTATCATAAGGGCCGTTACTTCAAAGTGTGGCTGTACCACGATGGGAGGCTGCTGAAACCCCGCGAGATTGAACAGCAGATGCAAAGAATTCTTGATGATGATTCCGAGCCTCAGGCTGGTGAAGAGAAACTAGCAGCTCTTACTGCAGGAGATAGGTATGGGGGTTATTATTTCATTAAATTTATTTTAATAGTTGCAAATTGCATACTAATGGATATACTAACAAGTAGTTGCATAACATACTAACTGAATGTTGGCTTTGGAACTTGAAAGTAGTCTGCAGTCAGATAATTACACCTTGTTCACTGATTTTGTATAAAGCTAAGGTGTAACAGCTCTTCAGTCATTTCTAACTACATGGAGTTAAAAGCGATTTTGCAGTGCAGCCCCGTATACAGGTTACCTATATTTAGCTGGAGAAGTTTGGTCTAATTGTGGTGATTATAAGAGTAGGAATTGGAAGTGTTACAGTGTTGCACACATTGAACAACCTGAGTTTTATATCCATTCTGGGGCTCACTAGCATTTTAAAGAACATCTTAAATTGACATCGAGTAACTGTTCCTCGGTGTTCATGACTTGCAGCTACAGAATAAAGCAGTGTGTACTCAGTTGGTTCTAGGTGCAAGATCACTGAATTCAAACTTATCGTGACATAGTTCAACCTGCCTAGCTGTTTCTGGTCAAGGGAGAGGAAGAGCTGTGGATTTGAATATGCTGCTTTACTAGGCGTCCTGCCTTTTTCTCACTTCCTGTTTTAAACCCTATGAAATGGGTTTTTTCATTGGGAAAACCACATACATTTATAAATGTGGTGCAACCATACTGAAATTATGTTGTTTGGGGCCTCTTTAACTTTAGATCTAGTTTTGGGTGTTTACCATGGAACTTCTTATTGACAGTTGTCCAGACTCTTGGATTTAGGTCTTACAATAACGGATATTAATATCTGTTGATTTGTTTTCATTATTATTCCTGTTTTCTTCCATATAAGAGAGATTTTCTTTTACTCAGTTATAAACAGAGATGATCTATGCTATATGTATTGCATGTGGCTGAATTTCTGAGGGTTAAGCTTCAAACATGTATCATGGGTTCCTAGGATTATGTTGTACCTGTGTTTTCGAACTTTTCACTGCTGATACAGTTTAAATGCAATTAATATGGTTGCTTCAGATTTGATGAAAAGCAGGAGAAATGTCTCAGTGATCTTAAAGGTGATAAACATTGATAAATTCACGTAACCTGACTATAAACCAAATTCTTTTTGTAGAGTACCATGGGCTAAAGCTCGTCAAGCGTATTTTAGCCGTGGGAAGAACAAACAGTCCTTAGATGCTGTTGAAAAAGCAGCATTTTTTGTGACATTGGATGACATCGAGCAGGGGTACAGGAAGGAGGATCCAGTGAGGTCACTAGACACATATGCAAAATCCTTAATGCACGGCAGATGTTACGACAGGTACGGTATTGACCTTGTGGAAAACACCTTCTCTTTTTTCAGAATTTCACTAAGTTGTGTGGCTAATACGTAGGAGTATTTACAAGCTGATAAACCTCATGGAATCACAGAATTGTTTGTGTTGGAAACAACTCTCAAAGACCATCTAGTCCACCCCCTTTGCCATGGGAAGGGACATCTTTTACAACATCAGATTGTTCAAAGCCCTGTCCAGCCTGACTTTGAACACTTCCAGGGATGGGGCATCCACAGCTTCCCTGGGAAACCTGTCCCAGTGCCACCCCACCCTCATCATAAAAAAACAAACAAAAAAAGCCCCCTTATGCTGAATCTAAACCTACCCTCATTCAGTTTGTAACCATTGCCCCTTGTGCTGTCACTGCAGACCCTGGTAAAAAGTCTTCCTCAGTCTTTCCTATAAGCCCCCTTTAGATATTGGAAAGCCACAAGAAGGTGCCCCAGAGCATTCTCTTCTCCAGACTGAACAACCACAGCTCTCAGCTTCATGGGGGAGATGTTCCAGCCCTCTGACCATTTTCAAGGCCCTCCCCTGGGCCTGCTGAAACAGGCCCGTGTCTGTCTTGCACTGAGGCCAAAGCTGGATGCGGTACCAGGGGGGTTGGGGGGCAGTCTCACGAGGGTGGAGTAGAGGGTGAGAATCACCTCCCCTCGAACTGCCAGCCATGCTGCTTCTTCTGCAGCCCAGGATACGACTGGCTTTCTGGGTTGGAAGAGCACGTTCCCGGCTGGTGTTCATTGTTTCATCCCCCGGTGTCTGCAAGTCCTGCCTTGCAGGGCTGCTCAGTCCATTCATTCCCCAGCCTATTGATGCTGGGCCTTGCCCTGACCCAGGGCCAGGACCTTGCACTTGGCCTTGTTGAACTTCATGGGGTCCGATTTTATGTCTGTTATCTAAATAAGCTGTTGTTTTAAAAGAAAAACCAAGAGCCACTGCGTTGGAATGTGAATTTTTGCAAGAGATGAAATTACAGTATAAAAATGCTTTTGAAATGTGCAAAACTGTAAGGAAGTCTCCGTTTCTTTTGTAGGTGGTTTGATAAAACATTCACTCTTGTAGTATTCAAAAACGGCAGAGTGGGGCTGAATGCTGAGCACTCTTGGGCAGATGCTCCTATTGTGGGACACCTGTGGGAGGTAGGTGTTTAATCCCTTGCATTCATATTTCTGAGGAGGGACTGTGGGCCTGTGTATACACTGCAGAATTAAACAAAAGCAAACAAACCCCACAAAACTTGCTTAAAACAAAAGGGTGCTGTCCTTCAATTGCAGTTTAATGAGCGTAGGTGTCTTCTTGGAAGAGTGGTAGAGCTCCCCATCTACCCTGTTTGTCACAGTCTAAATCCAGAGGTGCCTCTGACATGGCACTGTATGTTGCATGTATACAGACCCCTGAACAACTGAAGTTTTCTTTGTGCTATAAAAACCCCACACTTACTTTCAGAATTTAAAGAAATGGTACAAAGTTCAAAATATCTCTTGTATTTAATTGCAGTGAATGGAATAAATGCACTTCTTGTCAGGTTTGTTCACCGTGAGCTTAGTTTATTACCTAAAATACCATTTTTTTTTTCTTATTCTTTTTGGAGCTTAAACCCATAAACAGTTTTATGACCAAATCACTCAAAACTATTTAATGAACATTACCTCATTCTGGTTGCATTATGTATTTGTGCAAATGGGACTCAGGCCTGACTGATGCCCCGAGTAATTTCCTGATTTTATTATGTTATTCTACCTATATTTCCATGTGTATAAGAACAAAAAATGTTCACTGCATTCTGTAAGCAGGGAGGAAAGAAGGCCAAGCTGAATCGAGATTGGCTTGGCAGCGCAGTTTAGACTGGCACAGTGGAGGAGAGTTTCTTTGTCATCGTTTAATGAATGATGTTACACGCTGTGGTTCATATCTCTCTACTTACTGTTAGTTCTTTTTCTACTAAGAATTAAGATGACTAAAATAACTTCTTGTAAATGAAAACCTACCTGGTTTATCTGTTATTAGGTCTTTATAGATCTGTAGTTGGCACGTTCTGACCACTAAGTGAGAAAATGAAATTAAGAGATTAGAAATGTGTGCATAGAACATGCAATAGATTCTTGTCAAGCTCGCTCTTTCCACACTGAGCAGATTCAAATCTATTGATAATTCTGGGGTTTTTTGTGTTTGTTTTGGTATTTTTACTTTGAGCTTACAAACTTGAAGTTTTGTCAGGCAGAGCCTTTTTTGTCTGTTTGCTTCTCCACCCAAGGGCTCTAGTGCACGTATACAGCGAACTGCCATTTTGGGTGGGATACAAATTTTAAAAATTATTAAATTCTTTCAGGGATACGCACTGAGTCTGAAAACTTGTTTCTTGATGAACAAGTTTTGACAGCTAACAAACTTGCAGAAATTGTTCAATTTGGATTCTAAAGAAAGGTTGTGAAATTTAAAACTGACTTTTTTTTACTACTAGTAAGGTTGAGGTGGGTTTTAAATTAAAACACTTTGATTAACTCCATAACATCTAGCAGAAGGCACCAGTCTAATTGTGTAGGTGTTTGTGCATCTGGTTTTCTTCCCACCCAGAACAGAAATAAAAATGCCTTAAAATAAGAGGTAAAATAGGGCTTCACTGGCAGCTGTTTTCAGTATTTGGAAATGGATTGTATGTTGTATTTCACTATGTACCGAGAATGGGTTATATTGATTCCGCAATGCAATCCCAATTCCACAGCAATACGTAATGTGTTGCAATTCTGAGGAAGTATCATTCTTTGCAGAACGTAATGGCCACTGAGTATCTTGAACTGGGCTATTCGGAAGATGGGCACTGCAAAGGAGACTCCAACCAAAATATTCCTATTCCTACCAAACTACAGTGGGAAATTCCAGAAGAAGTAAGTACACAACAGCTAGTGGTTTGAGGAAGAAGCTTCTCTTCCTGAGCAGTCAAGTCATTTCAGTAACTACTGATAATCCTATAAATCAGCTTGAAATTCCTTTGAGTCCTGTAAGATGTGTATTTCATGTGTGGGCATTACTCAGGTTTCTTAAAAGTATAGCAGGTGTTTTTAACGTCACTCTTTAAAATTTCTGGCCTGGAAATGCCCACCTTTTACTAGAAAATTACATGGTTGGCAACATGTTAAAGCTGAGTTTTAAAGCCTGTTTTAAATAGTAACTGTATTACAGTGAAGTTTAAGTTGCTGAGTCTTCATGACTACTGTCATGACAAACGTTCTTGTCAGCGTTCCTTGAGATTAGCTGTCTCTTCTTTAGGTACACAGAATTTTGAACACATCTGTTGAGGTTGGATTTTAGTGGGGTGTTTTTTGTCTGAGTTCAAGACAAACTGCCATCTTCTACTTGGGTTTTAATTTTGAATAAAAAGGTAATGATTGTAAATACTTTTAATTAAGCGTGTGTGGCCCATTGGAAGTCACAGAGCCATTGCCAACCTGCCTCTGTGGGTCATTCTTTTATGTTCTGGTGACCTGAACAGTCTTAATGCTGGTGGGTTTTTTTAAATACAATTTTTGGACTCCAGATGTGTATTAGCTTTAAAACTTCAGCTTTTTAAATTTTAACTTTCTGGCAAAGACAGCTTCTCCCCTTTCTCCAAAGGGAGATAATTTAGATAATGATGTTCCTGGCATGCTAAAGGCAGCATTTGTTAATTAACAAAAATACTCACACTTTTTCGACCATTCTGTCAAATGCCATCGAATGCATATATATGAATATCTGTATTTATTTATTTTAGTGTCAAGAAGTGATTGAGAGATCCCTGCGCACCGCCACAGCTCTTGCAGATGATGTGGACTTCTATTCGTTTTTCTTTGATGCTTTTGGGAAGGGACTAATAAAGAAAGCAAAAACCAGCCCCGATGCCTTCGTGCAACTTGCCCTGCAGCTTGCTCACTATCGGGTAAGAAGAGCAGGCTGTTTCTGGCTTAACAGAATCTCATTAATTTGGGTGTGGCGTGTTTGTGATTAAAACATGTGCCTGTGTGAAGTACTTCATAGTAATTATGCACTGCTGCATGAGGTTATTAAAGACTTTAATGCAAATTGGTGCAAGCCCTAAGGAGGTTAATAGCTGGATGTTAATTGCCCAAAGGTTGGTGCATTGACACTTGTTCAAATTTTCTCTTGTGTTTAGTTGGTCTATCCCTAGGCCTTTTGGACTTGAAAGAAGTAGATACGATACTTCTAGTAGCTGTGTTTACCATCTAGACAAACAAAATTACAGCTATCACTTAGTTTGGAGTCACCCTTCATTCAGTAGCCTTGGACACTCCCTCACAGGATTAAAAGAAATGCCTGCCTGTGTTTTCTTCTGTTAGTTCACCATCTCTGTAACGTGCCTTCAGAAAACACCACTGTAGCAACCTGCATGACTTACATCTTGCTTTCTAGCTGCCACTGTTGAGATACTGTTCTACTTTTTAAGTAATTCAAAATGTTTTTTCAAAGCATCCAGTTTTCCTGGCTGCGATGACCACTTGGTCTTTCTTGCCGTTTGATTACGCACCCACCTCTTTTATTTTGAGCACTATCCTCTTAATAATCCTGCCATTTTTGCCTTGATTATCTTTAGGTAAGACTGCTAAGGGTGGGCTACTAAAAACTTACTGTTGTGTTTCATTTGTATAGTGATTCATATCCTGTGTGGTTCCCTTGAACTGTTGATTAAGAAAGAGGCGTTAAGTCTGGCTAAATCTTTAAGTTTTTACTTTTCTCTTTTCAAGGACATGGGAAAATTTTCTTTAACATACGAAGCCTCAATGACACGCTTGTTCAGAGAAGGCAGGACCGAAACTGTTCGTTCATGTACTGTTGAATCATGTAACTTTGTTCGAACCATGGAAGACCCAACCGAAAGTGTAAGTTCATGGGGGTGTTGCCTTATGCAATCCATAAGGCACGTGAATTATCACTAGATGTCTGTGGAAGTTCCCAAATTTGAACATTGAAAGTGATGCCTTTGTGGTTTTTTTTAGGAAGGAGGTGCAGCATAACATAGTTGTCCAGATCTTCTGTCAATATGGCACAAATTCAAGGCTATACTGAAAGAGACTGGCAGTAACTTAGCCAAATATGCCATTTCTTACAGGTCCTGAACTCCAGAAAACTGAGATGACTTGTGAAATTTTTGTGACTTTTAAAACTCAAATATAGATGTGTAAAACAAGTGATGTCATAGCAGTTAGACTTTCCTTTCTCATAGGAAAGCAAGTAGTATTGACAGGAAATAAGTCGCTGCTCTTACTTGTTGATTTCAGCGGGCTTTTTAATCTTCCTTGTGATGTTCTGCTGAGCAAACAAAGGAACTGTGGTCATGGGGAAAACTTCTTGGTTTGGATAAAACTTGGACAGAACTGGTTAAAATGTTTGCTGTCAGAATGGAAGGGTGGAAAACAGTCATCTTGAGGGCTGTCCCTTAATCCACTGTAGTCACAGTTTTAACAGATACAGGTGAGGAAATAAATCGTTACATTTGCAGGTTTTGCTAAGCTGAAGGAGATTTGATCTGAAAAGGAGGATTTTATTAAAAAGGAAATGCAGTCAAGGTATTGCATCCAGGCCTGAGTGACAGCTGCCTGAGTAGAAGTTCTAATGAAAGAGACCTAGGCCTATAATAACCAGTGACTGAACACTGAAACGTGCTATGCCATTGGGAGAAATGGAGCCCTCATTTTAGTTAGTCTTGCCTTTTATTTTTAGTAGTCTCACGTCTCTGCACTTTCTTTCTAGTACAGCATTAGCCGAGGTGGTGTGTCCAGTTTTGGACATCACACTTGAGGTCTAGATGGATTGAAGAGAGTAAAGGATAGTAAGACACTACAGGAGCCCTGTAGACTTATGTGCCTGGAGCAGCAAGTCTTGAAAAAGGTGGATGAGAAACTCCCAGCTGACTTGCAACAAGTCACAGTATTCCAACACAGGGCTCCGGGGGTCCCAGGCCTCATCGTCAGTGTTAGACAGAAGCGAAGAGGGCACTAAACGTCTCTGCTTTTGTCTACGTCCCTGTTTGTGAGGACCTCTTTTTGCTGCCCTTCACAGTACTGACCAGCCAGTACTCTTTGAACTCTAATCAAGCTTTGGCTGCTCTGATTTTTCTCCATACAGTGGCTAACAGCGACTCTGTTGTCCTTCTGGGTCACCTGTCCTTGCTCTCATACCCCTTCCCTTTTCTCTTAAGTTGTAGAAGATTCCTCCTTGTTTGACTTGGGATGCTTTGGAATTGCCTGCACCTGAGCTTTTAAGAGAAGGCTTCAACATGGGGTTGAAGAGCCAGAGGATACTAGAATTTGGTGTTAGTGGCACGCGTTGTCTTGTACTTGACCCTTAAGTGTTCCAGGCTTGAGAGAGACCACTGTAACTTAGTTTCTGCATCTCCCTCCTCAACCCAGTTCATGTAACTGATTTGTCTTCATCTTTTTTTCACTGTTAGAAAGACAACAAGCTGAAGTTCTTTCGCCTTGCTGCTGCCAAACATCAGCACTTGTATCGTCTTGCCATGACTGGTGCTGGCATTGACCGCCATCTGTTCTGCCTGTATGTCGTGTCCAAGTACCTTGCTGTAGATTCTCCTTTCCTTAAGGAAGTAAGTGACTTGTATGGATACCTATTAATCACCATAATGAATCTTTTGTTTACTTAGTGTTGCTTTCTTTTGAGTTACTGTGAGTTAAAGGAGCTGTGTATTGCAATTAGTTTTTTAATACACATGAATGTCACTGTTTATTACCGTGACAGATGCTTTATTAGTTAAACTAGATTTTAAGGTTGGGTTTTATAAAAGTAATTATGGTTCATGTTTTCTAATAATAAAAAATGTGTTCCAGCTTACCTCCAAATTAAGCTACTGACATTTGTCTGCTTGTCTTCCTAAATGTGAGCAGTGGCTAAGTCAAACCCATTTCCTTCAGCTTCTGCAGTCTCTCAAGATACATGTATATTGTTCGAGATTTACAAGCTTCTAACTTGATGTATCTTATCAGGATTTGAATATGGCCGTTAATGATCTTGTTAAGAAGACTGTTAGGCAGAATTTACCAGGGTATAGACTAGATTAATCCATTTGAAGTAACATTTCTCTTGAAAGAACTTATGTTCTCTGAGGGACTGACATCACCACCTCATATGTTCATAGTTTGCATGTCAGCATGAGTTTAGCTGTTTCTTTTAACCTTCTCAATTGTTCATTCCCCTCGTTTGTGACAAATGGGAACTGGAGTTATCCTTAATATTGCCTTATGGAGTGCTTCCTACCTTGGCTAGTTGTTAAGAAAGGTGCACATTCTTCAGCAGTGTGTTAAACCTGCTTGCATCTCTTCCGTGTGTCATAAAGGTGTTGTCAGAGCCCTGGAGGCTGTCAACAAGTCAGACGCCACAGCAGCACATTGATCTAAAGAAGAACCCCGAGATGTTATCCTGTGGTGGAGGCTTCGGACCGGTATGTTTGCTGAAGACAAGTACTCCTTTCAAATCAGTTCTCTTTTGACTATACCAGTCTAAACATGTAAGATCCGTAATACCTCAGTGTTGCCCATCAGAGGTACCACACACACTTTTAAATGCATGTGTCTAGTGCTTTCCCATGGAAGATCTGCATCCCCTTTTTCTCATACCCTGCTACAGACCGGATTGTTATTAAGGAAACACACGGTTGTCAAATGTGGTACAGGGCTCCATGGCCGAGAAATCTGATCAAGTGGTGGTTTCTATCACATTGTCTGTGCCCAGAGCTTCTGTAGGTGAGGCTGTTACTACAGTGACAAACGCCTCATTACTTAAACCAGGTTTTAAGGTTGGGATGTGTAAAAGTAACTACACTTGATTTGTTTATGTTTCCAAATGAATTAAAGGGTTGTTTGTGCTGATGATAAATTAACTGCATTGATCTTATTATTTCTTCATTTCTTTAATTTCCTTTCTTCAGGTGTCTGCCTTTCCAAATAACCCTGCTTACATTTCACTTAGTCATTTCTTGTATCCCTGTAAAAACTGTGCTTTGGTTTGCTGAAGAGATTCAGTACATCAGGATTGCTCTCTGTGTGTGGTGTTTGTTGGGTTTGGGGTGGGTTTTTTAAGTGCTCTGTACAAGATAATTTAGGAATGGAAGGAGAAAGTTTAAAGCTTGGCTGTCTCTCTTCTTTCTTCCCCTAGGTGGCTGATGATGGTTATGGTGTTTCTTATATTATCTTGGATGAAAATTCCATCCATTTCCATGTCTCCAGCAAAATATCTTGTCCTGAGACGGTAAGTGTCATTCCTTTCCTATGGATTAATAAATCTGTCCTTGATATCTGCTTATAAAACTGTTCTACTCGTTGTCCCTTTCAGTACTTCTAGGGCACTAGTTGATTACCTTCTGAACATTCTTTTGTCTTCTGAAAAGTAGCTTTTGTAACATGTTGTATAAAAAACCAGTACCAGAACACATCTGTTTTAAAGGAACAGAAAGCATCTGATTTGGAAAGAAGGTGATCTCACTTCTATCTGTAGGAAAGTTAATTCATAACGAAGAGCTCATTAATTAGCAATAACATAAGCCTGGATTAATGTGTATAGCATTGAAATCTTTGTGGTTTAAATTGCCTGTTTTATGGTAAAATACAGGCCCTAATTCTGCAGGCTCCAAAAGCACAAAGTGTTAAAAGGTTTCCTTCCTGTTGATGGACAGTACAAGTCTTTGGTTTTGTGTTTTTGTTTTGTTTTTTTTAAAGGATTCTCATCGTTTCGGCAAAAACATCCAAAAAGCGATGGTTGACATCATGGGTTTATTTAACCTTCGTATAAACTGTACCAAGTGATTTGCCTTATTGGTGCCAAGGAATCTCCTGTTGTCGGGATGAGAACTCTTCTGAACTGTGAAATAAGGGCAAGGTTTGTCAAACTGTAGCTGGCAAAGAAACGGCGTCAACGTCTTCTATAAAAAAAAAAACAACCTTGCAGTGTATCAAATATTTCTTACTTTTCAGTAGTTTGGAAGAGTTTGTTTCCACAAAGGGTGATGCTTAATCTTGTACGTTTCTAGGGATGAAGTGTAGTATCATTGCCTGGTCATGTATATTCTAACTCCTGCGGTTTTCTCTTCATTTGTAAACACTTGCTTTTGGGTTTTTTTTACTCTAAAATTAGTCTATTTGTGTTGCACAATCAAAGGGATGAAACACAGTCGTAACTACTAGAAAAGGTTTGATTTGCTTTGTATTAATACCTGAATGTCCTTCAATGTATCATCTGCTTTATGTCAGTGAATGACAAAACTTGTGGCTGTTTACCTTCATTGGGGGGTTTTTTGGTGGGTTTTGGGTTTGTTTGTTTTTTTTTTAAAAGGTAATTTCTGTAAAACATACCAAAAAAAAGGAGAAAAGACAAAATCCCAACCGTGCTGTAACCCTCTGCAACATACCAGGTTGTAGAAATGTCTTGTTTCTCTAAAAACCCAAACACTGGGTCGTGCTCCATTGGCTGGTAAAATGTGTCCCTGAATCAGCAGGTACCACATCTTCCTGACTACTTAGGAGCACGTTTGCCACATGGTTGATTTTATTTCTGCATGAATAAACGGACCTGTGCTCCTGCGAGTGCCTTAGAGGAAGATTGATCCGAAACCCAGGGGGGAAAAAAGCTTCTGCTGGGAGTTGCTTTACACTTAGTGGTGAAGGAGGTGAAGTAGTGGTGACGCAGATGTTGTTTTCCAGTTGCACGTTGGGTTGATGTGGCGCCAGTAGCCTGAACCCCGCTGCCATGCGGCGCAGTTCGGCTCAAAGCTCGGGTGAAATGCTCCCGTCTTAAATGGCAGAGGTCAGTCCCCAAGCACTGCGGGAGTGACTTGAGCTGTGGGTACTCCTGTGTTGATTTTGGTCACTAGTGTTGGTACTCGTCTGAGATGAGAGTTTGGGGTCCCAGGGAGTGTCAGTTTGGTTTCATGCAGATCGCCTGTGACGCCAGGCTGCCCGTAGCAGCTGATCCACCGCAGTTTCCCTGCTTTCAGCCTGGAAGGACCCTGCTCCACTGCCAACTGCCTGCACGAGGAGGGCAAACTGCTACAGCTGTGGAAAACAGCCTCAGAATGGGAAAATCCTGGCCTTATCAGACCCCTCCTGGGAGCTGCTCTTGGCTAAGTACTGTGTCTGAAGGCTACAGGGAAGTTGCGGAATGCTGCTTTGCTCAAAAAGGAGCATAATGATTCCGAGTGCACAAATAAAATGGAGTAACTTTGCTATACTTAGCTTCCCCTGGCTTTATGGGGTGTACTTTTTACATCCTGCAGTGCACTAAAGTGTAGGCAAAATAGTTCTTAATGCAAAGTACGTGGTGTTTAGTAACGCAGAGAATGCCGCTGCAGAGCTGTGCGGATTTTAAAGGCCTTTGGGGCTGGTATCAATCTTCTCGTTAGACTTGGAATGTTTGCCGGCCAGTATTTGTAACTTTCCATGTCTCTTCATGTTTTTTTTTTTTTTCTTTTTTACTCTGATTTAGCTCTTAAAACACCTGTACATGTGTGTTTGGGGTGGGGAACCTCAAAGATCCCAGATGTCAACCTCAGCAAATGTACGCTGATAGCGGTGTAGGCGCCCTCACAGGAATCGGCCAAGGACACCCGTTGTTTGATTAGGTACATCGCGTGGACAGGACACCCGGCAGTAGGCCTCCCCATGGCTAGGCCTACTCATGGCTGGCAGGCCTGGCAGTTAACTACTGCCACAACTTTAGCGTGCTCTAGTCTTCTGGAGCTGCAGAAATAACGCACTGTTTGGTTTTGGGTTGGGGTTTTTCTTTGTTTCATGGGGTTTATTTTTGGTTTGTGGGGGGTTTTTTGTTTGTTTGTTTGTTTTTTATTGACCACTGACCAATCTGTGCTTAAATTAACATTGGGGCACGTTAACCTGTAGGATTTTCTTTACAAAAGAGTAAGTTTAGATTTGACTCTCAGGTTTTAAATGTTTCAAGTCTAATTGTCGTTAGGGCAGTTATCAATGCAATTCTATGTTCTTAGACAGGAAGTATGATTGGCACAGAAAGCTGGTTTTTATTGTAAATGTTTTAAACGTTTTGGGGTGGTGGTTTGGTTTTTGGTGTTTTTGTTTTTGTTTTTTTTTAAGTTGGGATAGATCATAATTCCTAAACAGATTTTATTGCGTTTTCTTTAAGATGTCAACAGCGTGTAAATAAAAAACGCTTTTGGATGTAAATCTTAGAAATCCACAGTGAATGTAGGTTATTAATAAATAATTAATTTAAATCTTGATGTTCAGTATTGTGTACATACGGTAAAACTGCTTGCCTTTTTTGCTCAAAAGCCATAGGAATGTAACTGAAATTACTTAGATTTGAATGAATTAGTATGGTGTACTTTATAATAAAATGTTCATATTCCAGAAGAACTATGGATTTGTTACTAAAACCTTGAATCGCTTATTCTCACTTGGTGATTGAAGAGCTCGAAGTTAGGGCTGAGCAGGTGGTACAAGTCAGGTTGGACAGTAACACACTGACTGCGTTATTAAACAGCAGTGTGGAATTGGTGGAATACCTCACATGTGCATTTTCCAAATTTCTTATTTCAGCTATTTCATGCCAGAAATGAAGAGAACCTCAAGGGCATTTAAAGGACACCACTGTCCAGGATTTTTTTTGAGGGACTGAGGAAGTCTGCTCCTGACCTTGAAAATCACGGTTCCAATTCAGCCTTTGTACCACTTGTTTTTGTGTATAAAATATATTAATTTAAGCTAGGTAGGGGGGTTGAGGGTTTTTTTTAATCTTGTTCAATTACTCTGCATCTGTGGTTGGTTATTACACCCAACGCTTTGTCTCCATTTTTTACCCTCTTCTGTGACTTCAAAAAATAAAATTTCACAATTACTACTACTTAGTACAATGTTTAATATCCTTTGTGTCTTCTTCCCAGCTCCCTTGCCGCTGTTTCTGGACTTGTGAAATCCTTACTATTGATCCATGGTATGAGGATGGTAGGGGCAGACTGTTGAGTCCATCTTGGCAGTGATTTACACGTGTCTAGTTAATAGGGAACGTGTTCATGAACGGTTTTCCTTTTGCAGGTTCAGTAGAAGGAAGAAACAACACAGGTCTTACTTCAGATGAGCTTTTTTCATGAGATCCATATAACTGCTGGAATGTTTCTGTGAAACTGTCTGCCAGCTAGCGGAGAGCGCTGGAGCGGAGAGCACTGGTTTGATCTGTAAGGTGAAGGATCCATAGAGTGTGAGGGGTAAAGCAGTGGAGAACTAGTTCAGGCACAGGAAGTTAATTAACATGTTAAAATATTATTTGCTCTATCTGAAGATTCCCAGTAGCTGAAAACTACTTTGAAATGGTGAAAGAAGATTTTAATTTGGGTTTGGTTTTTTTTTTTTTAACCCTTTGAAGGTTCAATGCTGTTTTTTTGATTGGTGTTTACTTAAAAACCCAACCAAAGCAAACACCGCCCAGTGACATCAACTACAACATAATTGCTGTCTTTTCTTCATTTTCTATTCATTCAGTTGTTTTTGAAAATACAAATGTAGGTATTAAATATGATGCTATTATCATAGAATCACAGAATGGTTTAGTTGGAAGGGACCTTAAAGATCATCCAGTCCCAAGCCCACTGCCGTGGGCAGGGACACCTTCCACTAGACCAGGTTGCTCCAAGCCTCATCCAGCCTGGCCTTGGACACTTCCAGGGATGGGGCATCCACCGCTTCTCTGGGCAACCTGTCCCAGAGCTCCCCACCCTCTGCGGGAAGAATTCCTTCCTGATAATCTAATCTAAACCTCCCCACTTTCAATTTAAACCCGTTATTCCTTGTCCTGTCACTTCCTGCCCTTGTAAAAAGTCCGCCCTAGTTTCCTTGTCAGCCCCTTCAGGTACTGGAAGGCTGCAATAAGGTCTCCCCGGAGCCTCCTCTTCTCCAAACCTATTAAACCTAAAACCTCTTAAAAACATATAAACCTATTAAAGACATCAAAAAGCCTCAAACAGAAGTATTTTCCCCAGGAATTCTGTTACAAAAGAATATTAAATATTTCCTTCACAAGAACGTGGTGCTGTAGTGACCTCGCAGTTTCCTTTATTGATGCTGCAAAGTTGTTGGTATAAAACACTGATCATTTTGTAAATGAAATATGCTTTATTTTATGTACTAGAATCTTCCAGTGAGGTCTGTGGCCAACCTCAGCCTAGTGGGTGCTTCTGCCATGAAATGGTAAGTATTCGTGCAAGACTTTATTGAAAGGATCTGTCCTAGTGTTGAGTGTCTGAAATGGGGTTTATTCCAAGCACAAGAGGACACAAGGTTCTTCCAAGCACTCTCTCATCTGGTCTGCTCACAAAAGAGGGGAAGGGAAGATGTTGCTCTGGAGATGTCCTACCCTGCACCTGAACACACCCAGCCAAGAGGGACTCTGCCGAGTACCCGTGGGCAGCTGGTCCGTGTTTGAGCCCATCCCGTGCGCAGTGTGTGCATGGATCCGGGGATGCAAATCTGGGTTTAACATCAGCGTTCCCTGCCTATGGAGAGATGGTCTTTGCAACTTAATTATTTTCTTAAGATACTTGAATTTTACAAATACAACTTCCTACGTATCTGCAAGACCAACTACAGAAATTCAGGTATTTCATGAATGGGAGGTTTCTGGAAATTGCTGGGATTTTGAAGCCAGGTTTTCCAAGGCTGTCCATTTGGTGTTTTGAAGTTGTGCTGAGAGGGTGAGGGTTTCATCTGGAAGTGTGACTGGAGTGAAGATGGCACCGTAGTAAGTTAACAGATCGGCAGGGTAGGGGATAAATTAGTTTTCG